AATAAATAATCGTTCAACACATGGAAATATTCGACTAAGTTCTTTAATTTGTGTACGATTAGTAAATTTTATTATACATTCAATTTTTAAATAATGAATATTTTCTAACGGAGATAATTCATGAAAATTATTTTGTGAAAGTGTAAGATGATCAATATTTGAATTATGTTTAAGTATATTACCAAGTATTTTATTTGATATTGTTTGATAAATTATTAAATGACGAAGATGAATAAATTGATTAATATTATATATTGATAAAAGTTTATTTTCATCAAATAGGTCCAATCGTTCAAGATTATAAAATCGATTCAAGTTAATTGATGAAATATTTTTACCAATTTTAATTCGTTTAGTTTTTGAATAAAACCAACGATTATCAGATGATGTACATAATGGTGATGAAGTAGTTGGAACAATAAATAATTGATCATCAAAACAAGAGATTGTATATACATTATGTGTTGTTACAACTACATACCATTTTTTAATGTCTCGCCAAAAACATGTAGAAAAACTTTTTAAAATTTCATGCATTGCTCGATTATCATCTATAAATGGATCTATAAATTCAATAATAAAATTAAATTTACAAAGACGAATTATTGTAGAACATGTTTCCCAACGATATCCATCTGCTAGATTATCTGTTGATCCACATATATTCAATGTTAAATGTGTTAAATTATGAAAACGAAACAGAAGTCGTTGAATTTCAAAAAATGTTGTTGTTGTTTCACCTATTAATAAATATATATATATGATGAACAAATTCTTTATAGTCCATTTATTCATTGAGCCTAGTGGAGAGAGTCAAAAAAATATTCTAACGAAATGCAATCCTCATGTGAAGCTAAAAAGCAGGTATTTTCTTTGCCTACGATAGAGAATTGTCTCGTTTCTGGACGAAGCTCAGCCATTCCGTAACTCCACTATTAATACGCACATTGTATGTTGAGGACAGTAGATACACATACATAGCTTGCTTCACGTATATTACAAGATTGGATCATTCCAAAAGCGAAATTAATGTTAAAACTGTTCATAGTTAGCAATGTTTCATGCATTTTAAAGGATCAATGTGCTATAAGATATGAGGATGTTGTAAAACTTACATTGGCGTATTCATCTGATAATTTGACTTCTAGATAAAAATGAGATTAAGTATGAATATTCTTGCTTTTTACAACTTATCAAACTCTTCTTTCTCAATCAGTCCTTCTCGGAAATTCTACGACTTTCTGAAACATACTTTATTTGTTCATATGCATCTATAAAATAGTGAAGATAAAAAAAGACAACATCATGAATATTAGCAACTACGTGTAACTTTCATACAATCGCATGTTAGTGATTTTCCTAAGAATCCACTGGAAAGATGTCTTTTTCAGCCAAAAACTGGAAGGAACTTGAGAATAGGAATCTAGCCAACGTGGATCCTATAGCCAATTCTCATCACCGAATTTCTGCTTCGAAGTTCTTATCATTGTCTGGAGTTTTCCAGTCGGACTTCATTCACCTGAAATATTTTTTTAAAGCGACAAACACTCACGAGTTCATTATTATTTAAAAGTATTTAGCTCTTAGGATGATCCAATCTTGATATTAAAGCGTAATAAAGAATATTTTGCTACTTCCTCATTTAAATACCAAATATTCTTATTACAATCAATTAGATCTATGTCAAACAAATCTTTTTAGAGCTTTTTTAGTCTTATTGGATCCTATGTAGAGAAAAAAGGTAAGAACTCAAAAATTCTTAATCAGTCAGTAGAAGTTTCTTATCAAAACTCGAAAAATAAAAAATAAAATATGACGCTATATTCAATAATAACACGAACAGATCAAATAGATTTTAAATTTTTAAAATTAATTATTTCTCTTTCTTAATAATGAATATATATTTCTTACGATTTAAAGTAAGACTAAGTCGTTCTAAAGATGACCATATATCTAAATCTGACAATAATTGTAATTGATGATTTGCTTGAAGACTAATTTTAAGTGAAACAAGTGAAGGTACAATCATTTGTAAACGACGTAATTCCAAAAAATTACAAGTACCAGCTTGTAATACTTTTAAATTACGTAATGGTAAGGCAACATTATGATCAAATATATCACCATGTGAAACAGAAAGATTTTCAAGAGATTTTAATTGAGTCAATATTTGACCAAGTAATAATGGTTGAGATGATCGACATTCTGTAATTAATGAAGTAAGATATTTAAGTTTAGATAAATCAGATAAAATAGGATTTAAATCTTCATTAGTTATAGATAGTAATGTAAGAGAACGAAGATTAATAAAATCTCGAAGATTAAATCGATTAAAAAACAGTTGAACTTGACCGGGTGTTTTTAAATCATTCGATAGAGTTAATGATATAACTCGTTGTAAATTCAAATGATTACAAATAAAATCGAAACGTATTTTCAAAATTGATTTAAAATTTAATGTATGCCAACTGTAATTATCTAACACCGCATTTAAATAAGGACTAACATCAAAAAATGACCATATAACATCACAATTAGACATAAATTGAAAGATCATATAAAGTAATTCCACTGGTAAACGATCAAAATGTGTCGTCATTTTAGAAAACAAAATGTAGAAAAATATTCAATTGAATATGATAAATTTGAAAAACAATTTGCTTTTGATAATAAGAACAATAACAAAATAAAAAAGTAATTCTTCGACAATAATATAACAAATATGGTTTAATCTTTACATCATAGATAAGAAATAAATACTATTTCTATTTGACCTACTAGAAAAATTGAAATTAATTACCAGAAGGTTTTTTTTTCATCAATATCATATTCAAACAAGAAAAATTTATTAAAAGGAAGAAAAAACACAAGATTGATTAACAACTCCTTTTTTCTTTCGAACAAAAACATATTTAGTCATAATGAAATTTATCTTCGAAAATATTTAAATGTTCATTGTCTAATAGTTTGTGCCACGCCTTTTATTTTGAAATTGTTTTATAATAAAAACGTTTAGTATAAAAAAAACAGTTGCTGGAATATAAACTCCAGGTAAATCCACCCAAAACATACTTAAACGTATTCGTCCACTAACAACTTCATGGACATGTACTAACATATGTAATAAATAAAATGCTGTATTCATTGTAAATAAGGGTAGGCGATAGGAAGAATAAAATGCTGCAAAAATAAGTCCGATACCAAGAAGAAAAAATATACAGCCAATATCACGTATAAAATGAACATTTAATGGGCCGAATTCAGGCACACCAGCTGGTAAATTTAAATACCAATGTTCAGGTGCTATTAACATCCATAAAGAGTTCAGTATATTTATCGATGCAATAATTAAACAGATTATTGTCCATCGATCATAAACTTTCGATATTGATGACGAATGTTTAGATCTGCGAGTAGGTGTTTCCGATGAACGTAATGATTCAGCACTTAATGAACGTCGATTCATCTTTTCTGATACGTCCAATTAAAGAAAATTTAATGAATTATTTCTTTTCTGTATTAAATAATATGTAAAAATTGCGTAGAAATGAAGAATATTATTTATATGAGACAGCCGTTAAGCATATGATAAGAAAATTGACTGTGTGGTGTATCAGAAGACAAACCTTAAACAATATTCATAGATGTCACTTTGATTAAGCAAGACAAATATCCTTGAAAAAGAACAAGCCAAGCTCAATTTTAAGAAGCTTCATATTCGAAAAATTTGTTTCCTGAACTTGGGTCATTACTTTGATAAATCTGCAATGTATATAAAGTAGAAAAATTAACTGAACTCAAAGCAAGTCAGTTCGAATCAAATTTATAAACAAAAAATTTCAACGATCATCGTTACAAGCATCTTTTTCCAAAATGTCCTACATTCCTGTCCAAGAACACAATATGTCAAAAACCAAAATATTTTTTGTTTCTTTTGTGCTAATAGTCCTCAAATTAAGATCATAAGTGTTTGACTATGATTTTTTATCAATATTTATATATTATTTCACATAACATAGTTCATAAATGATAAGTATAAATAAATTACGTTGTTCGTCAAAGATCGAAAACGAACTATATTCAAAAATTGAATATGTTGATTTGCTTGTTCATAAAAATGCTTTCAGATATCAATTTCTGATGTTAACATAGAACAAGTTGTTGTGACATGGATTACAGGCTAATAAAATAAAAATGAATGTTTTGCTCATTGAATTTAAAAAAAAGAAAACAAATGTGTGTGTTATGATATCGGTTTTTCCCTGTTAGCAAATTATCATCATTGCTTCTGGTATTTTCACAGTTCTATGAGATTATGAAAACCAGTAATTTTAATAGTATCGGTTTTTGACATTTTATATCGTTTATTTGAAACTAAAGGAATACCCAATCAACACTGTCAGTGATTTGATTCTATCGTTAACAAACTTGAACTAAAGTCAAGATTTGCTGTCATCTTTTATTTAATGCATAATCATGAAGTTCGATAGATAAAATTGACAATGCATGATTTTTTTATGCAATATTATTTATAATACAATTATTATCCTTAGTTGTATATAAGAATGTAATCACATTGAATTATGAAATCTGTATTTCGACTGATTAATAAGGTTGACAGAAATTTAAAAATTGTAGCTTAAAATTAAAATTTCTTGCTCGCTTATAAATCAAGTATCGGAGTTTTTGTCGAACTCATAAGTGATCTTGGTGGAAAACGTAGAAAAGGAAAACGCAGAAAAGGAAAACGTAGAAAAAAAATAGTCGAAAGGAAAACGTAGAAAAAAAATAGTCGAAAGGAAAACGTAGAAAAAGAAAACGTAGAAAAGGAAAATATAGAAAAGGGAAACGTAGAAAAGGAAAATATAGAAGAGGAAAATATAGAAAAGGAAAACGTCGAAATGATCAATGTTATTTTTTTGATCAGTGACAAATATATATATATATGCTTTATTAATTTAAAATAAAAAAGATGAAAGAAAATGACAATATGAATGCATCTAATTTTTTTTCTTTCCAACTAATAGTGATAAACCTGACAAAAGTTCAGTTGCGTTGATTTCCTTCTTCAGATATCTGTTGTGCAAAGTATCAAATCTCATTTGAAAAGCTGTTGTTTTTTTTGATGGTTTCGGTGCAGATGCACCAGCTTCAAGTTGAACTAAAATATGTTCAAAACGCGCATGTTCACTTTGAATTAGTTGAATGAAAATCCAGATGTTTGGGTGTTTTTTTGATAATCGAGTTGCAAATCGAAGATTATAAGCTAAAATATAAGTATCGAAGGACAAGCCCTTCGAAAATAAAAAAATGAAGATTAGCAGTTTATTTACCTTCAGAAGTATTATTTGTACGATGAATGACATCATGGAAGTTCCACATTTCGAGCGGAACAACGCCATACATCCACTGCTGTTTAAAATATAATAATAAATCACCTAATGCTGGTGACGTCGTTGTTTGTAAGCGTTGAAATTGACTCTCAACTTGATCTTTTGGCAGCAGACTTAACGCCATCAGCTGCCGACATTGATCACGAATTGTTTCATCATGTAAATATTCAGTTGCTAAACCTAAATCTTTAATTTTCCGGTGTATTGCTTGATGAAGATGGAACATACATCCATTATGAATTGAACCAGGAAACTAATTAATGAAAAAAATCTCTTACATACACTGAATACGTATAATAGAGATAAAAACACTCACTTCTTGTTGAACAATAGGCAACATAGCGGGTTCATAATCTGATACAATACGTTGAGGACTAAACTGTTTTCCCATAGCAGTTGCTTGATCTTTTAGTAGTTCAAATAATGTTGTATATGTTTTACCACGCTTGTTTGGCAGAAGACAAAATGCAGCTGGTAATCCTGCAATACGAGAGGGCAAATATATGTATTAAAGATTTTATAACTGATCTATCACGTACCTTGACCGAATTTATGAGCATGAAACAAATACACTTGCTTAAATTGACCGGGTGAGGTATCAAAAGTACCATCTATGAAAATTGTATTACTCTCGAATAACAGTTCTAGTTGTTGATCACTTGAGAAAATCAAAATACGATTTTTTCCACGTTTTAAACATACATCTGCAAGTAAAAATCGTTTGTGTGATAATGTTTGTTGATATAATTCTGGAATTTCGAATATTTCAGATGATGGTATTACAGGTGTATTTTTTCGTCGTGCTTTACTCATGTTAGACCCTTAATATAAAAAGAAACATTTGAAACGAAATATTTCACTAATGTATAGAGTAATACATACTATATTCAACTACAGTTGGTAAAACTGCTACTGCACCTTTGGATAGATTTGCTTTAGCTACTTCTTCATCATATATCCTCGTAATTGATGTTGTTTCACTTATTATTCGTTCCTTCATTTTATCTCGTAATAGTTTAGCTTCTAGTTGATCTGGATTGAAAGGATGATTATGATCACCATTGATACATATCATTTCACCATCAATTGTTGTGTGTATATAAACACCACATTCTCGCTCACTGCATAACCAATACTTTTTATTCACTGTAATTTTATTGCACTTGAATAAGTAATTCTTGTATATTAATAATGGTTTTCCCTTGTTGGTTGTACAGAACGATATATCAAAATGCTGGGCTTTACATGAACTATGTTCAGAATCTAAATTTGTCGCCATTCTCATAATATATCAATTCAATATGTGAAAAATTTCTTTATTCGATCAGAAATATTGCATGTGGAGAGAGAGTGACTAATGAGAATAAGAATACAGAATTTATTTCTCTAGTGACATCATTCGAATGTATTCGATATTTTTATTTTCTGTGTTTTCCTTTTCTGTATTTTCCTTTTCGATATTTTCCTTTTCTGTATTTTCCTTTTCTACGTTTTCCTTTTCTACGTTTTCCTTTTCTGCGTTTTCCTTTCCACTATTTTTTTTCTACATTTTCCTTTTCTGCGTTTTCCTTTTCTACGTTTTCCACCATCCCCTCATAAGTTTAGAGTTATACGTGAACCTATGAATAGTCTGAAAACATGATCTGCACAGTTGTATTAGAAGATTCAGAAACGATGAATGTTATTCTACTACATTGTAAATTGATTCTATAACGTTGTTCAGCAATTTGACATGTTCTAAATGTCTTTCATAGACTTGTAACAATTTTCTAGTAATGACCAAATTGATTGTGTGAATAAAAAAAATTCAAAAATATCAAACGTTTCAACTGTCATATTTATTTCTAAATCGAAAGATACATTTTTTTGTCCATGATGAAGTAGTGATTTAATTTTAAAAAAGCAACAGAAACTTCTCTTATTTGTACTTATTCACATTAAAAAATTAAGTACCAGGTTTAAGCTTTAAAAAAGGACGACACAAACAGAAAACAATTGATTATAATAATGATATTTTTAATAACATTTTTGGTAGAACTGGATGCTCACGAAAACCTGGAAATGTTTGTTTTGAATACCATCGAACACAATTGACGATAGTACTCTTCAAACAATAGTTGATCATCAATAAGTAATAATTTTGAATCCAGTGCGTTTGAAAAGATCCATTAAGGCTGAACTTTGATGGATTTTTATAGAGATGCTGATCTAAAATATGAATAAATATTCAATTTGAAATAAATCATAATGAAATTTCTTATGAATTAATATAAATAAAAATCGAAGTTTAATTAAAGAATAAATGTTTATTACTATTTTTGTTTTTCGACGAAAAGATCTTTAGCTTTCAGTTTTTCCTTGACTATGGAATAAAAACTGATTTTATATAGAAAAAAATTGAATATGGTTCGTGTATCATTGATTTCAAATTGTTTTAGTTCAATTTTCAAAATTATTGAAACATTTCTATTCTATAAAATTGAAAATAAAAAAAAATAAAGAATTCTTGTGCATATAAGAATCTCATGATATTTCTGGTTAAATAGAAAAAGAAAACTTCGATTTCATCTTTTCCAAATAAATAATACATGAAAAAAAAAAGATTTTTTTTCCGATGGCAAAATTTATCTATTTCTATTTATAAATGTATACACAAAATGAGATAATCACCGGATAAAAATACAAAAAAAAAAAGAAACAACAAGCGAAATATTATTTATCATTTATCATTGTACGCGTATTAATTGTTAATTTCTGACGAGATTTTCGACAATAATCAATGAAATATTTTAGTAAATAAATTATTAAAAGAAATAATATAATACATGCAAGTATACATGGAATTAAGATAAGTAATTTAATACGAAATATAAGCCAAAATGATGATGAATCAATTAGAATAGGAGTAGAAGTCGACAATAGACTAGAAGAAAATAAATTTAATCATTTATTCTTGAAATAATAATCTTCAATGTCTTGTATAAAATAAAAGAGTAGATTGAATTTAATTATGTGCCATCTTCAGTTTTAAACTGATATTCAAGTAATTCTAATTGGTGCATATCTGAATCTGATGTGAATCAATCAAAGCAAATTTTTCTTAGAGATGAAATATTCTTCATAGGAAATCTCAATCAACTCTCTCAAAACTAATAAGAACAAAATCATTATTTCGTCTAGAATTACTGTTTGTTTTATGCCAAACTCGACATTGGTCACTTATTGTGATCTGAACAAACTCGGGTCACATATCTAGCACATCCGTAAGCAGAATTGATCATTTTTAATAATGTTGAACATGTCGTGTTGAATTAATTTCGAAGATAATTCAACTGTTAGATAGCAACTCTGAAAAAGTTCGAACTAATATCAACGTGCGTATATTACAGACTCCTAGCTTATTATTACAGAGATATTACATTGTACAAAGTTTCAAACTCTAGGTAGACAAACACCTATTTCTGACCACCCAAAAAATACCGTAATAACTAACAATTGCAGAAAGCAATCACGGCATTAGCTTTCAAGTTACTATAAGAATGCATTTGAAGCCTTTCTCTCGTAAGCTCTTCAGCTTTGAAAGTTCCGTATCTGAATTCTTTTCTATTCGACCTAATCGGACCCATCGAGTCAGGATCAACTCGATCTACTCTACATAAGTCTCAACTTAACATGGTTTTTCTTTTATTCGAATTATCTATTAGCAAAAATTCAATCCACTTTCCATATATTCCATACTAGACATTTCGAAAATGAATTTCAAAATGCTTTTTAAAAGAATAATTGTTTTTCTAAACTTACGTATCATTACTATTAACGTCAAATTGTGTAGACATATCTGACAAAAATTTTTTTTAATTACATTTGACGATAATATTCAAGAATTTTTTATTAAAACATCATTCGATACTTTGTTTTGCCATACACAAAGTGTTTCACAAACAATTATTTATTTATGTAGCGTTATGTCACTTCCGATTGGTTATTTCTATGAACTACTGACATCTTAAGCTTAACCTCTATATTTAAAGCATTAATGCATTAAGAAAAAATCTTTAATCACATAATATATCACATTAAATTTTATCTTTTAATGAACTTTTTTTTAAAGAATTTTTATATGAATTGAAATAAACAATCGATCCAATATTTATCAAAAAAAATCCATTTTTTTCTGTGGGGGTCGACTATATTCACCAGTATCCATTTGCTTTTGAATTCAACCTAAAATCAAGAAGACTTAGTGGAAATGGTTTGTGTTTATTTATTTTTTTTGTCATCATGTGTTTTTTCTTATTTTAATAATTTCTTTTAAGGCCGCCTCGCGACCTCTTGTTACTGTTTACGATGAAAAAGGTCAAACAACAGGAAAATCAGTTGTATTACCTGCAGTTTTTCGTGCACCAATTCGTACAGATATTGTCAATTTTGTTCATGATCAAATGAGACGTAACAAACGACAAGCACATGCTGTTAGTGATAAAGCTGGTACGTTAAAATAATAGAGTTATTCTTCTTTTTTTTCTAATTTTTCTTTTATTTGTTTTATTCAGGTGAACAGACATCAGCTCAATCATGGGGTACTGGCCGTGCTGTAGCTCGTATTCCACGTGTACGTGGTGGTGGTACACATCGATCTGGTCAAGGTGCTTTTGGTAATATGTGTCGTGGTGGTCGAATGTATGCACCATTAAAAGTTTGGCGTAAATGGCATAGAAAAATAAATTTAAAACAACGACGTTATGCACTTGTTAGTGCTATTGCTGCTTCGGGTGTTCCATCACTTGTTTTAGCTAAAGGTTTATTGATATCCTTTTTTTTCTATTTATAAATTATATTTTCTTTTGATTAGGTCATAGTATTGAAACCGTACCAGAAATTCCATTGGTTTTAACTGATAAAGTACAAGATTTAAAAAAAACTAAAGAAGCAGTTGCTCTTTTACGTAAAGTTGGAGCTTGGTCCGATATTCTTAAAGTTTATGCATCAAAACATACGCGTGCTGGTAAAGGTAAAATGCGTAATCGTCGAACAGTTATGAAACGTGGCCCAGTTGTTGTCTATGATAAAGATAATGGTGTTAAAAAAGCTTTTCGTAACATACCCGGTAAATATTTAATTGTATTGTTTTTTTTTTTTATTCCTCTTATCTTGGGAGAACATATTTTATGTAAAATGTTGCTCCAAAAACTAGGAGGAAAATTAAAAGAAGAGAATTGTTTACGTCTTCGGAAATATTTCTTAATTTTTATGAAATATTTCTTCTTCATTTTGAACGAACAAATTTTAGAAAAAAAAATTTTTTTTTTAAACTCTTGATGGAAATCTGTTCATATTTAAATTCGTCCTATTTAAAAACTTTGCACGCTTTAAAATAATGAGAAGTATATTCCCATCCCACAGAGTTATTAAGCTCTCTGTGGACATTGATTAGAGTCGAGGGTAGGTATACGTCACAAAATAGTCAGCATGCTATCCGAGACAAAAAACGGTTAGCTATTTGTTCAAGGTCATTCTATGACTAGTAATGCCAAGTTTGAACATAGTATTTATTGAATGTGTGCCGAAGAATGTAGCTATTCACGAGAGAGCTATCCGAATATCGTTTTACTGACTTTTCAATTTAGCTTAAGTTACTTATTGAAGAATTAAATAATAGAGTTTTGCCCACGAACAGATCTGATGGCTCTTGGAATATCCCGAAAATTCCAGTCGAAAAGAGTTTTCTTTATCGGAATATTAAATTTTCAAGTAAATTCGATTTTTGCGATAAATACCAAAAGCTGAATGGAAAACTCAGTAAAAGGATTACAACTCGACTCCATAGGTATAAACAACTTTCAGGATTTTTCTAATCTTCGCGACACCTCTTCATCAACGATGATGCCTGACATAATGGAAAATTTTAAAACTTCTATTGCAAAAATATTGTTCAATTTCTCGTTCTAAAAAATTTCTATGAATATTTTAGGTGTATCATTATTAAGTGTTGAACGTCTTAATTTACTTCGTTTGGCACCAGGTGGTCATGTTGGTCGATTTGTTATTTGGACTGAATCAGCATTCAAAAAACTC